TTAATAACAAATATATCTTAACCTTAGTGAACTTTATACCAAAATCCTTAAAACATTGTCATTCAATCCTGATCATAAAAACAACTCCCATTAATAACTACCGAGAGCCTCAACATTTATGTTCTCTATAGTCCAATAAATTCACTATGCAAACCTTCTGTTTACTTTTAAAAAGCTTAAACTTTAGTCCTTTCTTACAATGTCCTACCAGTTGGTTCCCCATCATCTTCTTGCCGTCTCCCAGAAACATCTCCTATCTTTTCTCTTCATCTCTTCCCAGGAATGGCCTCACTGATGTAGTACATTCCATTTGCAAGTCCAAAATAAAAAATATTTCCAGATCACTCTTCTCCATGATTTGTGTTTCCCGTTTGAATATTATAACATCAATTGATTCCATGTGTAATTCCATTCTAATATCTTTTTCCATATCATCTTTTGGCCATCTTCAGCCCATATTTAAATCCACAGTTTCTTTATTCATATCACCTTCATAGTCCAACATTTTTTTGAACTCCAATTCTACATTCCATTCAGTCTCCACCTTTTTTCCAAAGTTAATCATCTTATCCACTCTTTCCTCTATCTTTTTTTCAAGGACTTAAATCTAGTTCCTAATTCATCAAATGTTGACTGAAGTACACTTAAAGGAGTTATTTTATCTTCTAGCAGATGCTCGAAGGAGCCTCTTTCAGCCATTTCTTTTCTTTTTTTTTCTTTTCATTTAGACAAGTAAAATGTATAGCCAGATATAGTTAATTACAAATGAAAGTAAACTGCAGTTCATGCCCTCTAGTGCTTTCAAGCTGAAATTGCAGGTATGTATGCTTACTTCAAAGGGATCACACAGGAATCAAGTTACAGTCTAGCTCTGTTTCTAAAGCCCCACCAATCAGCAGACAGAATTGAACAAAATAAGAAACTTCCCCATAGAAAAGACAAACCTCATTGCTGCAGATGGAGTTTCATGAAAAAATAAACTTTTAACAAATACATCTTCCTTTTTCATTATAAGTAGACTTTAAGCCTCTTTTAAATTTCAATTTCCTCCAGCTTTTTGCAAATTAATCAGCTTAATTTAAAACTCTATTTCTTCATTTAAAAATATAGTTCCAAAAATAAGGATAAGCCCCAAGAGAATTACTTATCTGTTTTGAAGGAAAGTCTCTCTTAAGCTGAAAAATAGTTATAGACCAAAGTGTTTAAGTGTTTAAATCAGTTCTAATGTCCATTAAGGCTGCACCGCAGCAGCGAATGGAGATGGTTCCCCCACTTCCCTGCTGCTTGACTCAAGAGCC